GCTGGGAGGGATTGGGGGCAGGAGGAGAAGGGGATGACAGAGGATGAGATGGCTGGATGGCATCACCAACTCGATGGGCATGAGTTTGGGTAAAGTCCGGGAGTTGGTGATGGACAGGGAGGCCTGGTGTGCTGCGATTCATGCGCTTGCAAAGAGTCGGACGTGACTGAGCGACTGAACTGAACAGATTAAACAGAGAAACCAGTTGTAAAGGAAAAGCACAATTTCTGGTTTAAGAGTCAGAAAGAAAATTCACCAGTAGGCCTTAATAAAGAGGACACTGTGACGATATTGCTTTACAGCCTCATTAACATCTTTAGTATCAACACCACCATGAATTTTATAAGAAAGCTTTTTCTTTACGTGGTTTTCCTCAATGTAGGCCACTTGCATAAATATGAAAGTGTAACTCAGGAAAGGCAAATCAGTAGGGATTAATGTGATATGGTGCAGATTTATAGGTCTCTGCTAAGCAGGATAACCCAGAGATAGAGTTGAGAGTATCTCTGAATGGATGTGTAGCTATTCCCTCAGGCAGCCTTCCTCAGAGCTTTGATAGATGTTGAGAGACAGAGAGTTTCCTTACATCCCCTGACACAGGGATCTGGAGCATTGTTATTCCAAGTTCTATTTAGTTGCACTTAAATGCAGAGACACATATTCCAGCCATGGTCTAGGTGAGAAGAGGATTAGCATCCTTAAAAGAAAATCGAAAGGCTTGACAAAGACAAAAGCTTGAATAAAATATGATCCCACTTTGAACAGTGAGAATAGTTCAGCCCTAACTAGATGTAGGACAAGGAGCAACTTTAGACACAGATAAAGGAATGTCAAAAGTCCTTAAACCTATTCCAGCACACACCCCATGGACTCAGGTGCAAGGGAGACCGAGCTTCCACATTAATGCCGTGTCTTAGAAGAAGCAGTTTCATTTTTTGGTGTCTTCTTCGAGATAAAATTATTTACAAATGTAAATCCATAGACCTAAATGAGTTAATTTGAAGTAATTGATGATAACAATGAGAAGGATTAAGAAGGCAATAGACACTATATGTGAGATGCTCTTCTGTTTTACCATTAGTGGCTCATTGGGCCTTCACCAAAAGCCTAAGAAGTACCATTGTTATTTAATAATGACGTACAGAAAAATTAAATATTTCTACCAAGGCATACATAGCTAGTAAATATAGTAACCTGGATAGTGAATCAAAAAGCCTGCTTTCTGAGCCTGTGCTCTTAACCAGTATGCCATAGAGTTAGGGTTCTTAATTATAAGATAGTTTGACACCGGGAAAAATTTAAGCTCCCCTCTTAAGTGACATTTGTTTTAAAATATATTGTTCAGTCACCCCATTATGTCTGACTATTCGCAACCCCATGAACTGCAGCACGTCAGGCCTCCCTGTCCTTCACCATCTCCCAGAGCTTACCCAAATTCATGTCCATTGCATTGGTTTCTTTTAAATTCGGTCTCAGAACCAGTGGATTATATAATAAGGTTATTCCTGTTTAATAGCAGAAAAACTGCATATATGAAAATGTCCATGTTTGCATTACTATGTCAGAAAATCAGTCATTCTTTCATTTATTCAACAAATATTTTCTGAGTGCCTTCTATGTCTAGGTAATATTCTAAGTGGTGAAAATAAAGAAGTAAACACAGACAAAATACTTGCTATGAATTTTAAGAGACAGGTTAAAAGCAAAGAGATAAACAAGCAATCATCAGATAGCAGTAAATACTATGCAGAGGGTCAAAGTAAGGGATATGAGAGAGAATGATGGGGCAGTGATATTTTTTTGGATCTTCAGAGTATTGTTTAGCTTCCCAAATTTGTATATCTAGCCTAAAATTCTCATCTGAGAAATAAAAATTATATAATGACCTTTCTGTTTGACATCTCCAGTCAGAACACTCAAGTATATTTGTCTCCCTCCCACACATTCTTATAATGGCAGAATAAATGAAAGTTTTAAAATAATATTAGAGTACAATATACTTGAATAGTGCAAGTTCCATCTACTTGGTACACATGTCAAAATAAATCCTTTTAAGCTACTTAGGGGTGAAAAAAAAATCACTATCAGAATAGGCATAATATAGGCAACAAACATAATAGTTGTTTAGTAAATATTTACTGAATAAATCAATAAACGAACTTAATAAATGACCCCCAAGGGTTGATATATATGATTTCTAATAATCATTATTTTGGCAAAATTTCTTCTTCTGATAGCTAAAGAGGTGAATTTTCTAAGATACTCATATTTAGAAATATATTTTTAAAAAACCTTGTAAGTAAATATTTTATATCATCAGAAAATCAAGCATATTGTTAGGCTTCAGCTTCCAGCTATAATTAAGTAACCCTCTCAATAAGAATAATTGTAAAATTGAACAAAATTACAAAGCAGCTGGTTTTAGGTATTAAACAGCAAGCAGCAGAAAATTGTGGTCATAATTGTGAGGTAATCAATCACCTCAGTCTTGAGATTCTTTCCTAACAGAGTAAAAAAAATGAAGACAAGTATAGCTTCAGGTTTGCTAAAATAAGAAGTCAGAAATCTGAGTTCCAGGATGCTAAAATGACTAGAAATTTCAGTGCAGCGTACGGAGGAAAAGCAGCTGCACTGAGGGGAGTGGGATGGAGCCCAGGAGTCAGTGTGGGATACTCCATGGAGCCTGGACCTGGGCATTGTGCAGATGGAGACTCTGGGAAGTCTAGCAGAGATCCTGTGCTACAAGGCGGATAGAACAGATAGTGCCGTGCTAGGAGATGTCAGAGTTCCAGCCCCGAAAGGTGAGAGACTCACTGAGCACCTCAGCCCTCATGGCTTAGGAGTAGGACCGTACTGTCACCACCAGATTCAAATCTGAACCAGACAAGCCTGAATCCAAATGAAACCAAGTTTGAGAAGATCATAAGGATCTACTGGCGATTTAACTGTTTGACAGAAAAAAATTCATAAAGGAAGATGATGCAGTTCAGATTTCCTGCAACATATTATTCACAAAGTCTAGAAAGTGTGTGATAAACCTTTACTCCAGGGAATTCCCTGGCAGTCCAGTGGTTAGTGTTAGCCGCTCAATTGTGTCCAACTCTTTGCAACCCCATGGACTGTAGCCTGCCAGGCTCCTCTGTCCATGGAAGTCTCCAGACAGGAATAGAAGACTCACCTTTTTCACTGTTGGGGCCCTGGATTGAGCCCTGTTTATGGAACTAAATCCTGTAAGCCATGTGTGGTGCAGCCAAAAAAAATTAATAATAATAAGTTACTTTACATGCAAAATTAAAGAGATCTGTTATCAAGAAAAAAGTCAATAGAATTATATCTGAGAGGATCTAGATATTGCAGTTAACAGACAAGGAATTTAGGGAACCTATTATTGTACATATTTTCCAAGGTTTAAAGGAAAATATTGTCTTGGAGAGTGAACAGCTGGGAGTATAAAGAGAAAGTTAGACATTTATAAGAATATGGAAATTCAAAAACGTAACAGGTCTGCAATTTAAAAAATACATTCAGTGTTCTTAACTCTTAGTGCTACCAAAAGAAGGATTAAGTGATCTTGAAAATAGATCCATGGAAATTGTTGGATCTGAGTAGGAGAAAGGGTTATTGATCTTGAAGACAGATCAATAGAAATGATCAGATCTGAAGAACAGAGAGAGGAAGAGGTGGGGGCAGGGAAAGTAAAGAGAGACTCAATAATTGGTGAAGTAATATCAAAGTATTAATGATACTACAGGAAAGAGAGAGAGAGTGATCTGATAAGAAAGATATTGGATGAAATAAAGGCCAAAATATTCTCAAATTTGTTGAAAAAGAAACCATCAACTTTCATATCTAATAAGCTCAGCAAACCCCAATCAGGATGAATATAAAGACAACAATGGCAACAGCAAAATATTAAACTCAAATTTCTGTACACTGAAGATAAAGAGAAAATTCTCAGAGCACCCAGAGGAAAAGCCACATGATATATACATGTGAATAAAGATAACAAAGGATTGAAGTCTCATCAGAGACAATTAAGCAGTATTTCTGCTGGGGAAGAAGAAAAGTCAACTTAGACCTCGGGAATTGAGTAAGTGCCTTCAGGCCTCAGTTTTCTACCTTCCCCAGAATAACATCCTAATTTACTTTGGCGGGACAGCTAAAGAATCTGAGGGGCCTCCACCCTTTCTTTAGTTTCAGAGGCCTTTATCTAGCCAGTCAAAAGCCAGAGTCCTGAGGAAAGGACCAGCTTTTCTTCTCATATCTGTGGTTTCTCAGGTTATTTTGGTGCCAGCTGATCACTGTGAGTCTTTACAAAATGAACGTGGCTGTCCAGCTTAAATCCTGCTGAGCTAATTGGCAAACTCCTCTAACCTGAGGATAGAGCTGAGAAATACCACAGCCAGGAGGGTTCTTTGATGAATTCATCAAGACTGGAGACAGAAATCATCTTGACAGAACACAAAAACCAAGCAAAATACATATGAGGCAGGATCCCGAGTTTTGGATCCCCTTCTAACTATCCTCTTAAGAGCCCTTTTCAGGTTGTATCCACCTGGTCCTTCATCAAGATGGAGCCAGAAGCTTAAAGCTTCTCTCTGCCTCCATGTCTATAGTCTCTCCTTCCTTGGACTGTGATGCGACATTTTCCTTTTTCCTCCATGTTCAGGGATTCCTTGAGCCAGATTTGAAAATGAAAGTGGTTCAGTTGTGTCCAACTCTTTGTGACCCCATGGACTGTACTCCATGGAATTCTCCAGGCCTGAGTACTGGAGTGGATAATGATTCTCTTCTCCAGGGGATCTTCCTAACCCAGGGTTCGAACCCAGGTCCTCCTGCACTGCAGGTGGATTCTTTACCATCTGAGCCACCAGGCTAGCCTTGTGTCAGGTTTAATGGCTTTTAAAATAAGTAGCTCTTCATGTAAACTTTGAATGATGTGTAATGTTAAAAACCAAGACCATTTCATTTTTTTAAGCTATACTTGAAAACACTCAGAGATGCTTTGGGGGTTAATCAGGAGAAGGTCAGGAGAGTAAAAGGAGAATTCCCCACCCATATACCTGTACATTCATTGCTGCAGGTTCTCTCATTTTTGCTTTCAGATGAAAAAACAAATCTGAACTGAGAACAGGGAATTTGAAAATAATAGGAGAAATTAGAAGTAAAGTCTTTAAATTACAAAAAAGATTTATAGAAAAAGGATTAAGGTAAAAATATCATATGCAAAATATGATTGAAATAAAAAATGAAAATGAGAAAGATAATAAGATTTTGATTATTACAATAGGCTGGAAGTCAAGAGAAACATAAATATGAGGAAAATAAAGCTTAAAGAGTTAAAATTCTGTGAGATAAAATATAAGGGAGATTCACTAATAATTAATAAAAATTCAGTTAAAATTGGCGATTTGAATGTGAGACCTGACACCATTAAATGCCAAAAAGAAAACAGGGTCAGGGTAAGCTCCTGACATTGGCCTTGGCAATAATTTTTAGATTTGACACTAAAAGCAAATGCGATGAAAGCAAAAGTAAACAGTGATGTAGTGGAGCTACATCAAACTAACAAGCTTCTACTCAGCAAAGGAAAGCATCAACAAAACAGAAAGGCAACCTGTGGAATGGGAAAAAATATTTGCAAAGCACATATGTGATAAGAGATTAATAACCAAAATATACAAATCAATCTGCTTTAGGGATCTCACACTTTCTCCCACAGTTTTACTCATTTTCCCTAAAATGATTTTGAGTTAGTCACTAAGTCATGTCCGACTCTTTGAGACTCCATGGACTGTAGCCCATCCGGCTCCTCTGTCCATGGGGATTCTCCAGGCAAGAATACTGGAGTGGGTTGCCATTTCCTTCTCCAAAATGATTTTATCAGCACACATAAGCGAGTCAAGGAGATCACTAGCATCAAAACTCCAGAAACATTTCCTAATGAGCTTTGAAATCTATAACAGCAGATGCTTTCAAATCTCCAGTATTGTTTTCCAAGCAGTTTTATTTAAAAGAATATAGTATAAACTCAAGGAAAGTACTCAAACTCAGTTTATATGCTACCCTAAATTAAAATGTGGACTTAGGTTTACAAGAATTTTATTCAGGAAGAAATACATCCCTGATAGGAAAAAGCATACCCCTGAAGAAATGGTTCTTAATGTTCTTATGGCCAAAGACAAGAGCAAGCAGTTCTTTACCAGAGTGTGCACATCTCTGTTCTAGAATGTGAATGAAACTTTCTGAAAGGTAAGTATTTAGGCCACAGAGATTTGACATCTTATGCTTAGCTTCAGTTCCAGTCCTGTGTAGTTATGTTTCTCAAAAGTTAGTCTGAGCATTACTTGCATCAGAATCAACTGAAGTGCTTGCTGTAAATCCCTATTCTGAGCTTTTTCTTAGGTTTCAATCCAAATGCAGTGCCCACAAATTTCTGGGCACAGCACCCAGAAGTCCACATGTTAAAAACAAGCCCTCTTCTCACTCCCGCCTTCCAGTGATTGTTGCATGTACTGAAAATTGAGAAGGCCCTGTTGTAAGGTTAAGCATGGACCCTGAAAAACCATGATTCTACGCCCCAGGCCCAGAAATCGCTAACTTTGCACGTTCCAAAAAGTTCTAATGCTACATGATGACTTTTTCCAATAAGCGATGTTGTGACTCAGTCACCTTTGACCTTTTGTTTGGTATTTTAGAAACACATGCTAGAGTTTAATGCTAGAAACTTTAGTGCTTTTTTTTTTTTTTTCCAAGAAGTCTTAGCATGGACTTCACATATTTTACCATGAAGGGGCTGAACATCAGCAGCACTCATGTTACAGCCTATAGGGGAAATCTAGACATCTTGGAAACTTTGTTTAAATGTCAAATGCAGCAATTTCATCTAGACCTGCCAATTCAGCTGGCAGCTGCAGGAATGAGTGGACTAAATGGAGTGAAGCTTAACAAGGCAGGCGTAGACATACAGAGAGGAGGAATTGGGATTCCTGTCAACTGGAATGTTGTATGGAGCACAGGACCCTGATCTTCTGAAAGGCATTGTGGGGAAAAAAAAAAAATCTCATCACAGTCTGAAAGGTAAAGAACAATGAGAAATGATGCAATGACAAGCAAAAGTTCAGTATTAGTTGCTTGGACCAAAATCTTCGGTGTCACTCTTGATTTCTCCCTTTCTCACCATCCGTTCCTTGGGAAATTCTTCCAGCTCTGCCGTCATTATTTATCTGACCACTTCATCTCCACTATCACCCCTGGTCTGAAACACTGTCTTCTTTTGCCTTTATTGATAGAATGGCATACTAACAGGTGTCACCATGTCCCTTGTTCCCCCACAATCCATTCTTGGCACAGTAGCAAAGCAGTCATTTAAGATTGTAGTCAGGCTGTGTCCCTCCTCCACTCAAAGCCGTGCCTCCGCTAAGGTTCCCTCCAAGTAAAATCCATCGCCTCCCCCTGCCCCTTGTCTCTGACCCCACTTGCCATGCCTCTCTCTCCTGCTCCTTTTTCTCCAGTTCCTTGAGCCTCCTCTGCAGTTCCCGGACCACACCTTCTGCCAGGAATGCTCTTCCCCCAGACAAGTGCTTCGCTACCTCCATCCTTTCCCGCAGCCTTGTCTCAAATGTCTCTTTCTCGAAGAGGCTAGATGTGATTGCCCTACTTTAAATTGCCCACCTCTCCCCATCACACTCCCAAATCCCTTCCTCTGCTCTTTTTCCTTTCTTCGTGGCTCTTTTTGCCTTATACCATGCTATGCCAGTTAGTAGTTGATTAAGCTTCTTGTTACTTTTGGGTTTCTCCA